ACCACCAGAGCATCTGATCCAGTGGCTCTTGAAGAGCCCCTGGTGCAGACCTGGGTGGGGCTGCCTCTGCCACTCTGGGCCTGCCCTTCCTCACCTGTGGCCCTGTGCAACATCAGGTCCACCTCTGGAGTGATGGATTCCTGAGACCATGTGTTTCAGACACTCAGTGCAGGGCCAACACGTGCCTAGCCCTCAGTGAATACCAGCAGCTCTTACTGTTCCCAAGGCTAATGACGAAGCTATAGAAAGATTTCAATAGGTGAGGATGGTCCTGTTTCCTGTGCTTCTGGATCACTTGCCTCCAGCCTTCTACCAACTTGTGTACCACTCTGTCTCTGAATGGTCATTCTTTGCTTTGTCTCAAGTGCCTGTCCCTCTTAGGAGTGGTGGGAACTCAGCTGTAGGAGGGGCTCTGAGAGCATCTGGCCTGAGTGCCTGCCATGGCACCCTCGTCTCCCTGCTTGACCCCACCTGGAGTTGGGGAACTGCTGCCTGTAGGCAACCCCTTCCAATATTTTCTTTTCTCTCTTCTTTTTTGTGGTATGGGGATTGAACTCGGGGCCTGGAGCATGCTAAGCATGTGCTGTACCCCTAAGCTACACCCCAAGCCCACTTCGGAGGGTTATTACAGACATCTTTCTTCTGTGGCCCTCTGTCCAACTTGTTGCTTCTTTCTACATCCTTTTTCCTTCATGGCTCACCTGATCACTCTGAGGAAAGGAGGGCGGTGGTGTGGCGTGTTGACAGAATGCATAGGTGGCCACCACAAGACCTGGTTTTGGCCCTTCTGTGTCACTAAGAGATCCTGGGCAGGTCTCAGCCTCTTGCTGGCTTTGGATTCCTATCTGCGTAAAAGGAATGGCACTGCCTGGCAGGACATTCTCTGGAAGCCCTAAAATTGTAACAGCCCTGTGTTCGGGACACCATCTTCTTGGCTCCAGCAGGTTCCAAGCTCTTACCTTTGGGCCAGGGCTTTCTGAGCCGCCTTCTTGGTGTCTAGTACCTGCCCACCCTGTTCCTGGCCTCTGCATGAGCAGAGTACTGAGGTCCTCAGAGGAGCTGCCAGGGGAAGGCACAGCTCTAACCCTAAGAGATAAGCCTGGGCAGCCACCAGAGCCACTGCAGGAAGTTCTTGATGTTCTTCCTGTGACCAGCCCAGGACAGTCACTCTTCCGATTGGAACGGATGACTGGAGAGTAGCTGGCTCTTTGTGTGAGGGTTGTCCCTGCAGGACTGAGCACTTCTCTCCCAAAGACCTTACCCTCAGGCTGTTCCCTGAGAGACAGGAGCCAGTGTCCTGGAGGGCCTGTGTGGCTGGTAAGCAGGACAGCCCAGTGGGGAGTGAGGGGTGGGTGCTGTGGCAGTCAGTCCTGTCACCAAAGAGACCTGT